AAATAATAGACAAATTTAATGAGTATTCTCATTATTACATAAGCTATGCTTTTCTTTTTTTATGCATCTTTTATGCTGTTTAAAATGTGTCACTGCTTATGCAATTAACAATTTAAAAGATAAATAATTAGGAGAAAAGCCGCTCATATACAAACGGATTTTAAAAAATTATTCAACTTAAATTTAAGAAATAAAATTCTATTATATAAGTGATAATACACGATCAGCACGAAATACGACAAATTTGGCGAACTTTTGGCGACGAACAATTTGTAAACAAATCCGAACTGCAAGAACGTCGTAAAATACTGTCAACTCTGAAATTTCCACGACTATATACTTAATGAATATATACACATTTAAAAAATGACTCAGGCAGTTATATTACAACAAAACATCAATAATTAAATCGGCCTCTATTTCCACCGTCCATCACTTCACAGTGAGATCCATCGCATATTGAAAGTTACCCGTGATCCTTCAGAAGAACTTTCGTCTGATTGGTTGAACGTTCGAGGAACACGTCTCCAGCCGGAACATTTTCGGATAAATTTTAAAATGTTGCTCGTAGCCGGAACAGGTTCCTCCTAGCTAGACGAAACATTTCTCGGAAGCCTGCTGCTTAAAGCCGTACTACTAGAATCTCGTTTCTCGGAATTGTCCCGGGTAAGCGCGTGCGTCCATAGAAGTGATAGGGCCATTAGCGGCAGCGGGGGCTGTGAATAATATCAGTCGGTAAGACTTGGGTGAAGTAATTTATGGTAGTGGGTGGGACTCAGAATTCTTGAGGGGATGTATTCTGTGGAGTTCTTATTTGAGTGAAACCGTCTGTCAAAATTTTTTTGAAAATACTAGTGAATGGAAATTAATTAATTTCTGGCTAATTATCGTGTCGAAACGATTAAAGGAAAAAAATGAATTTTCACTGTCAAAGAGCTATTTGACAGACTACAGATTATGAAAAAGACCCATTTTTTTAGTAACAGCATAAGTCTGAAGACAATTAGCTTTTTACAATATATACAACTGAATAATTACATTATATACAAATCCTTCAACTGATAGTCATCCAACTTATACCGCCTTCTCAGGTTTAGGAACAAATTATCATATTCCTATTAGTCAAATGATTTAGAGTGAGTATTTAACACCTGCTCTTTTAAGGCAATGGCTAATAAATTGATTGGGTATTTAATTATTTTTGAGAATTTTAATAAGGAGCAAAATTTAAAAAAAAATATCTGCACAGATACAATAGATCTACAACGCGAAATTTTGTTCCTTTTGGTTTTCAATATAACTTATTAGTAAATTATTTTTACAACTAAGTTGCTTTTCTTGGAATCAGTTTTAAGAGCTTGTACGATTCATTCTCGTAAGAATGATGTTCTTTAGAATCCTAAGTAGTTATTCACAAGATTTTAAAAATTTAAGTAAACAAAAGACATCGCAATTATTATTATTATTATTATTATTTTTTTGAAGAAATTGTAAATTTTTTAGCAAAGTAAGGAATGCCTGAGAGTATCATAATTGCAGTTTAAGGTTATATAACGAATAGGCTTGTTTACTTTTTCTCATCAGCAAGATTTCGTTCAGATCAACAAATTAATTTTATAAAAGAATTTAAAATTTACTTGGCTAGAGGAATGGATGTCTTTTTGGAAGATATTGCTAGAAACTATTGCTCGCATTTAAATTTTTATATGGAAAGGAATATGTAAACTCCTTGCGGCTAATCCATTTAGCCTCAGGAATCGAAAATGAAACAAGCTACCAGTGACTGTCGAGCGTGCCACTAGACCAGTCATAGGTTTCACGGTTAGAAAATTATTCTAAATGTGCTTTCAAAATTTACAAAAATTAACTTATTTAAGTATTTTATATTTTAATCTCATCTTTATAAATATAAAGATGAGATTAAAATAAATTTAAGATAGATTTAAACAAATTATTATGATATTTCAAAAAGATAAAAGTTAAAGATAAATGTAAATATAAAATACTTAGTAATAAATCTGAATTCAAATCTATTATTAGATTTTATTTGTAGAGATGAACCATTAGATATATGAAATGTTCATTACCAAATATATTAATACCTAATATATTATATGTTTAAAACATAAACTAAGAAAATGAATCTCTAGTGAATTATCTTAATAAGGCTGATAACGCAAGTAATTCGAATCTTTGACGTAACTAATTCGGAACTTAAATCAGAACTATCTCTTAATTTGCTGCCATATTGAATAGTTGCGCACTTTTGCTTCTACCTCTGTTCTTGTTAAAACGTTGCTTCGCTGTTCTCTTCTTATCGCAACTATATCGAAAATGTAAATGTTCTTAAATGGACATGCTTAGACTGCCAGGCGAATTCTGGCCTCAAATGTCAATTGAAATAAAGATGAATATTTAATCCGCATCGACTGGCCATTTTGCTTTGGACTGAGTGGTAGAGTTCCACGAAGAAAACCTTATCTTAATTTTCAGCAACGAAAAAAAGAAAGACTACCGTGGGCAAAGGAACACATTAATTGGACAGATGATCAGTGGTCACAAGTTATATGGAGTGATGAAACTAAGATATCGTTATTCGGTAGTGATGGGCGAAAATATGTAAGACGTAGAATAGGAGAAGAGCTACATCCTGACTGCATTCAAGCAACTATGAAGAACCCAGTTAGTGTTATGATTTGGTCATGCATGTCAGCAGATGGTATTGGTCGCCTTCTTGTCAGCAGATGGTATTGGTCGCCTTCATGTCATCGATGGGACACTGAATGCCAGAAAATACATTGACACTATTCTAGAACCAAAACTTCTACCTTCCATCAGAGATCCCTTTTCCAACAATGCTTCGTTTATTTTTCAGCAGGATTCTGCTCCTTGCCACACGGCCAAAATATCGAAAGAATGGTTTCGTACAAAGAGCATTAAATTGTTGTCATGGCCAGGAAACAGTCCTGACCTCAATCCTATCGAAAATTTGTGGCACCGTTTGAAAACTCTTGTCCGAATGAGGGCCCCCATCAAATAAAAGGGAACTAATTGAGGCTATAATTGTTTCCTGGCATCATGTAATAACGAAAGAAGAGCTTAAAACTCTTGTCATCTCAATGAAACTTCGATGTGAAGCTGTAATCAAAATTAAAGGGTACCCTACTAAGTACTGATAACTCACTGCAATCATCACTATCTAACGTATATCGATAACTATTATCGTTTAACTTCTTTCGTATTGCAAATAATTGAATTTTGTGTTTTGTATGGAATTCAGTAATAAATTCTCTTTAAAATGATATATACAAGTTTGTATTTTGTGAAACGTAACATTTTCTATGAGCATACAAAGTTCAAAGAACATAAAAATTTCCAAAAGTGTCCACAACTTTGGCCACCACTGTATATATATATATATATATATATATAATTTATCAAGCAAAGCAGTAATAACAATTTTTAAAAAACCAATTTTGGTCTAGAAAACATCTTGCGCAATATGCTGCAAAATAAGTAAAATATAAAAATTGTAGTAAGCTCGCCTAAAAGTTACCAAGAGCTGCTGCTCCAAAACTTTTAGGCGAGCTTACTACAATTTATATATATATATGTAAATCACAATATCCATAAAATATACATAAAATCTTGTATATTTTGACTAATAGCAAATCGCTATTTATTTTATCTTGTACATCGGCATTGCCAATCCATTATCTATAGTTTTTATTACACCTTAATGTGTTTCTTCAAGCGGACGCCTAGGAAAATTGGAACAGAGAATTGAGACTAAAGATTTTGGCAAAGTTTTTTTCAATTAATTTATAAAAAGTGTTTCGTATACAGTTTCAATTGTCTGTTTCGGCGAAACGCGATATGGAGTTAGCTTGATTCGAAAATCATTTAAAATAATTTCCCCTGAAGAGCCATAATGAGATTCGAATTTGGCTAATCTACCATTTACCGCTTCTTAGTTTTTATATTTTTGCTTAAATCATTTGTCGCACTTTAATTTTAATGTTTAAAATATGCCTTACTTTGATTAGCATATTGATTACAATTAGTATTGAATTTTATTTGTAAGTATTCAAGTGTTTGTATTTTTTATTTTATCTTTATAGCACATTTCATTGCACCTTATTTTACTTAATGTTATGTTAATATGTTAATATTTTCCACAGTATCTAAGCAACTTTTCAGCGTACGAACTAGAAATTTTCTTTTAACATTTTTCTAAATTTTGCAGCTCAATGCGCAAAGTGTTTGACCACATAGGTCTTTTATCGTTTGTTCTTTTTACTTTAATTAGTTATATATATATATATTATTTATGAATCGCAGTAACGCTACCTTGCATAATATACGATTTACAGTAAATATTCCTAGGTCGAATATCTCTTTAAGATTACCTCCTCTGAAAATGGCTAGTGTGGATGTAAAGCTCTTAACTCATCTCCTTAAGGCAAGTATCCGTACAGAATGAAATCAACTTCAACCTTCAGTAGTCGCCTTAGACAGATTCATTGTATTATTAAGAATTTTTTTTAAAAAATTCATATTACCCTATTTTTTCAGTGCTTTGTCCTAGTTGCGTTACCTGCTGTTGTTTTTGTCAGTTATAACGAGAAACCAAGGGCGGTCATAATTCATTGCCTTTAAACAACAACAAGAAAATTCCTTTCCCTCTGCAGCAGAAAAATATTTAGGTGAAGTACTCATAATTAATTCATTATCAACAAAGCATTATTCGTATTTTGGAAAGCTTTCTTAAATTCACATAAGCAAGTTTATACTAAAATTTCCATTAGTTATTGCAAAGTTAATATTTGTTGCTTCTACATTTAGTTACTCAATACTGTACAGAGATTTCGACAGTTGTGCTTTGTCATGGTTATATCAGATTATCTTATGCTAGATGGCGCTTAATTTTATCCGCTAAGAACATGAGTAAATATAGTAAATTATGCTTTCAACAGAGATAATCTAAAGATGAGTCAGACTTTCTTTTTTCCTTTCAAACTTTTCACACAGATGCTGTAGCAGATATCATCTGGAAACTGTCTTCTGGAAACAGTTTCAAGAAAATGAACACGATGATCCCAGAATCGGAACAATTGCTGAAGACGAATTATGTTTTCCTCATAGCGTGCTTTTTCCTGTCATTCGTATCAGAAGGACTGCAAAGGCTTTCCGGATTGTTTTTCTTGGAGATAATAGGAACTCTATCACTTGACAGACAGACTGCTTCATTACCTTTCATACTTAACAGATCTGTTGCCTATTTGATAGGTAAGACTCATGAATGAAAATTAAGTAACTATAAATGAAGTTATGTTTTGAACTAATTATCTTATTCAATTATTCAAGTGCAATTTAAACTTAGTTCCAGCTTTCAATAACCCCATTAAAGTTTGCAAAATTTCTTATGTTGTGTCATTCATTGATCGAATATCATTCAGACCTTTCCCAGATTTGAACTATACACACGTTACTTAAATTTAGATTATTTTTTTTTAATATTTTATAAATTAAACAACAAAAAATGTGGATAAACACCAAAACTTGAATAAAAGTAGTTTTTTATATTCATGAACTAAAATTAAAGGCTTAAGAGATGAGTAAAATTCTAACGCATTTCCGATCTGAAGCCATGAAATTTGTCTTGTTTGAGAACCCCTGCTCGAGTTCTAGTCAAGAAACTCTGTCTTCATCGATTGCTGGTCTTGCATTATAATTTAGGAAATTAGCCTTCAGTAGTTAAAAATTGAAAAAAAATTATATCAACATGTCATGCAAAACACATATTTGTATGAAGTGTAACACAGTCTTGAAGCTTTAAAAATACAAATAAGCGAAAACAAATCATTATACAAAGAGCAAAATTTTGATTTAAATTTGACTCCTTTTATTAATATAAAATTTTAATTAGTTAAGAATCATTTTAGTTTGATTATAAGTATATCAAATCAATTATTATTATGTACACAAATTTATTTATGTAAAATTAAATTATTGGTAAACTTCAAGAAATCCATATCCGTATGAGACGCCAGATTAAGTGATTCAGATTATTGAAACCATAAACGGTAATTTCTTTTTATAAAATGCTCACATTTCCAAAATTTTTTAAATGGTAAATCATATCGTAATTGTAATTTTCATGCTTCTAGGGTATTGAAATTTTGATGTGAAAAAAGTGCAATATTTTTTTTTTATTAAAAGGTTATATAAAAAGTATATTTTTAGCAATAAATTTTGCAGGAAGTTAAGATAACTTGTAAGCTAATCTTACTATATGTTTTACTATATCCATTATACATTACTATTTCTTCTATTAATATTATTACTGTAACAATCAGTTATAACTCCTTAACAGCATTTCACTCAATTCGATAATTTAGTTTGATTAACTTATTACATATATTTAATAAATGCTTAACACACAAAGATATGGTATAACCCTTCATTGCAAAAATCTTAGCGGCACAAAATGGCAGATATTGATACTTCTTGCAAAAAAAAAATTTGATTGATTCAGTAACTAGTCTGCATAATTTGGAAGATACTTAATTTACCATTATAGTCCACTGATAGTTCCGAATATTTGCACCATTACTATAAATAATAAAAGATGTTTCTAATTGCATGTATTAATACGTAATCGTTTGGAGATTCAGTGGTAAGCCATCATTTAATATACAGCATCCAGGTAAAGAAGTTGAGATTTAATACTGAGGAAAGTTCTTGTGTTCTCAAAAGCACTCTGAAAGGATACGTAGGCAATTGGGAATATTATTATATCTGGAATCTAAAATTGATAACCCATCCAAGAAAAATAGTTTTCTTAGTGGAGGTTTAAGCTATTTATCCATAAAAATAAGTAAAATTCTCTCTTGCATAAAGAAATTTTCAGTGTATATAAAAATAAAATGTATTAAGTAAAAATACATTTTGATTAGATTAAATTGGCATTCCGCATTTATGTGAACTAACGAATGTCTTCATTGCAAAGACATAGAACTTTGAGCTTTCAGTTGGTGGTAATAAATGTAAAATTGAGTTTTTGTGATAGTGCAATAGATGAACATTATTCAAATTATGCCTAATATTAACGTTTGTAAAGTTTGCTGCAACATTTATGGAGAAATTTAAAAATTTATCATGGCGGATTTTTTTCAGTTTGCACCAAGAATAATTTACTTGGCAAACTTCTTAATTTATAGCAACCTATTTTTCTTTCCTTTTTTTCATTGGACAAGAGCGGAAAACAGGTCATCGTTCACACTTTAAATTAATTTTAACAAAGTACGCAAACAGCATTTCGCGTTATTATCGTTTATAACAAATATGTCAAATTTCAAAATGTAAATTCACGTATATCTTAGGAAATTTTAAATAAAAAAAATTAACTTTTTGTATTTATGTTTAGAGGTACATATAATTTAAAATTATGGGGAAAATTAAATTTCGATGTGTGAAAGGAAGTATCAAATAAGTTGAATAAAAAAGAGATATTAAATATACACCAAATTCAATTAACACGGAGGAGCTAAAATTTTGAGATCTAATATTTTAAAAACTACTCGTGCGATTTTTACAAGATTTAGCAGTTTGGCACAATTTGAGCCGTAGAACAGAAATATGGAAAAAAATTGGTCTGCCATTTCAGAAAAAAGTCAAATTTTGTGTCAAAATACTTATATTAGAACACTGCTATATATAAATCTAATACATATCCTCAATCGCGCTTACGAGACATGAAAAACGCAAGATGAATTTCGTCAATCGGCCCAGTAGAACGAGAGATATAGAACTGTCCCTCCCCTCTTTTTTGCGCAGTTTTTTTCCTTTTTTATTTCTTTCTTTTTGAGGCTCATAAACATGATTGCAAAAATTTTCATCTTCAGTTTTATTATTGCTAAAATTTATCTTTGGTCTAAAATGAGATATTATTTCCATTATCACTGTATGCTTTTCTATATATAGGATTGCGTTCCTTTATACGTTTCAAAATCAATCATTTTTTTTTAACAGAGCAACAAATGTACTGCTATTTTTTCTCTGAAAATAAAATTATTTTTCAAAGGCGAATAAATAAAAGACATAACAAGTGATTAATTTCAAACATGTTTAACTTTGTTTTTTGAAAACTTAAAATTTTCAGCTTTGAAGTTCAAGTGCGTTTGTTCTTCAGTACACAAGTGTACGAACTTTCATATTAAAGGAAAATTCTGTAATCTGTTTAAAATTACGTTAAAAATCATATTGGCATGCGTGCAGCTCTAAATTGTCATTACTCATTTTTTAACTGAGTTTTCTGAAACAGGCATGTAATATAAATACTGTAATGGTGCTGTTTTCTGCTGTGATGTTACAAGATTTAGAAATCACATGTGTAGATATCTGATTTGTCCTGCAAGTCGAAAATGTATAGTTATAAAAATAGTTATAAAAAAACGAAAATATTAAAGACTTTCTTAAACTGAGCTCGTTGTTAGAAACTACCAAAGAAATCCGTCGAAGTCACAAAAACATACTAGAAATATTTTGTTAGTCCCGAACGCCTTCCCATTTTGTTAGGTAGAGCAACTCAGATTAAAGAAACGATACAAAAAACCAATATATTATATTCAATTCAAGTATGATAAAACTTAATTGAATGAGTTTATTTTGCTACCATGTTAAAGAGTTTTCCAAAAACATTATTAGTTATTTCTTTGTTATTAGTTATTTTTTGATACAATGTCTTAATAAACTGAAAGTTCTAGTAGGTTAAATTTTTATTTTATATATTCCAACTTGTTTACTGAATTTTTCTGATGATTATTAACATTTACATAATACTTTCTTTCCATAGTTATAGGTAATTTTAATTATAATTTAATCATAATTACAAATCTGTGTTTGAATTCATGATCAGCTATCTCTTATTCCTTAATGTATGATATTTCTTTGAAATTATGTTTTGTTTTATCTTAATTTTACATATACTCTCTCTCTTACCATTTATTTCAAACCAAATAGGCTTTAATTCTTCTTGCTAATACCATAATGCTTTGCCTCTTTTCACGGCTTAAATTTCAAATTTGCAATATATTGTATTCACCTATATTGTTAATATTAAATTTTGATAGAACAGTTAACGTAAATTTGGGATCTATCAAGACATAGGAAATTGCAGCAATTTTCAGGATTTAAATCAATCAAGATTATATTTTTCATGTTAAATCTTAAAAATGGTAGTTTTTAAATATTGATTTTTAAATATTGATAATAATTTTTAATTTTAACTTAGCAAAAGCTCTGCTACACCTTCTCAAAAGTTAGTAGAAACGAAGTTTAAATTCCAGATGTAAATAATGAAATGCGTTTAATGAAATAGACATAAAAAAATAATACCAAGTAAATATTTAAACTTCTCTTTTGCGTTAACTTTCTTTTGTACAATTATAACATAGGGTTTCGGGGCATAAAAATGTAAAATCCTAAGTGTTCAATAGAAAGTTTTAACAGCTTTAGAAGCTTGTGTATAGAAAACAATGCAAAATAAAATCTATACCATTCAATGAAGATATATATCTTATTTTTGGCTTACGTTTTCATTATTGAAAATGGCAGTGATGACTTCTCAGATGCACGTTTCCATTTCATCAGTTAATTTAGCATCATCAGTTTACTTTTTATTTTCATTATAAGAAAATTTTAGAATAAAGCTGTTTAAAAGTATGATTATGATACTTACGCTGGTTTATCTTGAGGTATTAGATTCCTTTGGATAAAAACATTCCGTCTGAGAATCATGCAGCTATAAATGTTTTACTTGTTACTATGTTGTTAAATGCCTATTTGAAAAAAAAAAAAAAAAAGATTAAGAAATGTTTGTCATAATATTGTTGGCGATTTTGACAAAACTACTGAAATTAATTTCCATTTCATTTCTTTTACTTATTTTTTTAACTTATAGGTATTGCTTGATTCATATTACTTCAGAAATAATGCTTTTGTAAATGATTATGATAATAATTCAGTTTTAATCGTTTTATCTCTAACTCTCACAGCCGCATTTTCAAGGCAGCTATGTAAGAAAAAAGCAGCTGCGTCTGTGATTCTCTGGGGAGTTTTATTATGCACAACAGGAGTTGGATTGTGCTTCCTTGTTACTGACATCATATTACTTTCACTGTTCTGGGGTCTTATTTTTGGTAAGTAAGTGTTTCTCCTCCCCCCTTTTTTTTTCAGTGTTGCAAAGTTATTTAACACGAATTCTCATGTTGTTTTTCCAACCTATATATTTACTAAAATTAGATTCTTGATAATTAACTTCACATATGTTTGCATTTAAGTTTTTATACCTTATTTAATTCTGTTCCTCTGTTTGCTCGGAATTTTTCATGCATACATAAAGTTTGAAATAACAGTACAGTTTCCAACGGAATTAAAATATATATATGTAATATTTTGGCAGTGGGGCACATGTTAATTGTTTTGATTCCACATCTTTATTCAATTGAAAGGCATATTATCACTCTTTACTAAATAAAAGTAAATTTAAATTCACTGTGTCATAATTCGAACAAAGAAAGGGAGAAGAGCAGCAGCACAGGTCTTAGCCAGCAGAGGGAGAAAGCGGTCCTGATACTGTATTTGTGGCGTTTTGATGGATGTTTTGCGCAAGGAGTTGTATTCCTGAGTTTTTCAGGGAGGTGACTAGAGTGTTAAGGTCATCAAATATCCTTTTTGCTTCTGCAGTAAGATTTGGAGAAGGACTGTCATTAGTTTTGATGGCTTCAGCAAAAGACATATTGATAATAAACCTATCAGCATATGATTTCATTTGTTCTTTTTTAGCTTGCTTCGGGAGCTTTTCACAACCTTTAAATGAAGCTGTGTGGTCTAGCCCACAATTTGCACATTTAGCAGGTGCATCCTTGTCTTTTTGACAGGTTCTTGAGTCATTCTTGAGTTATCACCACATTTAACACATCTAAAGTCATTGTGGCAAGCAGCTTGTGAATGGTGAAATCCTTGACATCGGAAGCACTCGACTGGGCCAGAGCATCCTTTATATGGTTCGACTTTGATATGTAATCCACAAATTTTGGTTTCTTTAGAAATGTCTTTAGATTTTTCATTTTTCTGCAGAGTGATAAGAAAAAGTGGAAATTTTTTAACTTGTCCTTTAAATCTACGAGAGAGTTGATTGACACTTATAACTTGGTAATTTTTGCTTAAAAGTTCTTCTTTGATTTCATCAGGATCTGTGTCCATCGTAAGATGACGGAAGACCACTTTATGATTCTTCATCAGGCAAGAGAAAGGAGTGATATTTAATTTCCTTTTTGTTCAGAATACTTGTCATTTCTCTATGAATGTTGACATGAGAGACTTTAATTTTAAAGCCTTCTTTTTGAATGTAACCTGTGTAATCAGATTTGTCTGATAATTTATGTTCTGCAACTAACGCTTTTAGTTTTTTCCAATCAAATTTTTTATCATTTATATAAATAGCAGGTGGCGCTTTGCCTTTTTTGTTTTGATAGTTTTGTATTTCTTCATTTATCTGAAATTCATTTGGAACAACAGAACTAGTGTCTATTGATTCTTGACTATTAATGGAAGGAGTAACAACTGGTTTGAGCTGAGAAGGATTAATGGGACGAAAATGACCCTTTTTCCTTTTACCCACACTACGATCTCCTTTGGGTTTTTGTTCAGTTTCGTTACCTGAACTATCCATTTCTTGTTCGAAAGGGATTTCATTTGAATTGTCTTTATTTGGCTTATTAGGTGTGCCTTTCATACGTTTTCTTTTGACAATTTTCCATTCACTTTCTGTAGGTGTAGAAGGAGTTTCTTCTTGATGTTCTAATGACTCTTCAATTTCTTTGTGAGCAGTAATTAAGGCATCATACACTTTTTGAAGTAGATCAAATTCTTTGTCTTCTTTGATAGAAAGATTTCCATTTTGTTTTTTAATTCTCAGCTCCTCAACAGTAGCCGCAAAAACTTTCAAAAATGGTTTCTTCATTCATAAGCAAATTAATGCAGTCCGGCGCTCCGGAACCAGACCCACACGAAGGTGTTCGAAGGTAATCGTCATCATTAGCAGCAAAACATTGTAATAAGCATTATCATTATATTACATTTTAGTCCCACATAATAAAAAATAGTAGGACATTTAAAAGTAACTATTGTTTACTTCTTAATGCATTTGATTAAAACCATATAATTTGGAAAGGTTCTTTTCACGCTTATTTTATATTTATAGAGTTTTCCAGAATACTTTTCCACAAATACCCATGCTTCCTTTTCAAACCAAATTTAATTTCCAACTTTTAAAATTTTACTAATTTCTTCCGGTCGTCTGGTATTTTGACGTCTACTGCATTTTTTTTTAAATTTGATTTTTTCCCCATCCATTAGAAAAATTGTTAGAAACCTGGGAAGTAAGTATTAGGTTTAAACTTAAATAAATGAATAAATAAAAGGAAAATTTAAAAAAAACTGAAAAGTTTCAGATTTTAAATTACATCAAAAGGGGCGATTTTTTAAACATTTTGTCTGTTACCTTTATTTATTAAATATCACATTCTTCGCCCTTACCATAAAATTCAATTCAACAGAAATTTCGCAAAATGGTTTTAAATTGAGCATATCTTTACAATTTCCGATACAGAGTCTCGTGCGCTGGAGATATTTTTTTTTTCCTGTTCAACGTTGCCATTGCTCCCTTTGAAATCCTTGAGTTTGTTAATCAAAAATTCGTTAAGGTTTTACAAAATATAGGAAACCGATAATAAAACAAATTCCAAATTTGGCTTCCACATGACCATATTCGCAGTAGGATTGCATCATTTCAAATTCGATAGATCTATGTACCCCAGGGATGTCAAACTCATAGGTACACTTGGGCCAAACGAACAAGGTTTAACTTTAGGCGGGCCGCAAAAAAAAAAAAAAAAAAAAAATCAATATTCATAGAAACGTAGATTTATTTCGAATAATACAATAATAAACATATATATATATTTATATAGAAAAGAACAAGAAAAATTTAATGTTTACGTCCTGATACTTGACATCTCTTCTCTGCTATTATCTTTCCTATTTCGGGAGAAATTTTTTTTGCAGTGATAACTTTCAACGCTGACCGAAGGTGAGCATCATTAATACGGTTTCTAATAGGAGACTTATTACCTTTCATGACTGAAAATAACTGCTCGCACCGATAAGTGTTACCAAACATGGAAATAATTTCATATGCGAATTTTCGAGTATTTTTAAACCTGGCTGGTAAATATTTGTAAAATTCAGGCACGCCCACTTCAATGAATTTTGCTTTCAAATTTGAGTTGCATTGAATCTCGATCACCTCCATTTGCATATGGCTCGGTACTGAGTCAATATTTATTGAGAAAAATCGAAGAAAACAAAAAAAAAAAAAAAAAAATTGTCTTCGAGGGAACTAAAATCATTAAACCTCGTTTCAAATTCAGTTGTTAAATTTGCAACTTTTTCTGCGTATTTTTGATACGAATCATCTAAACTTTATTATTAAATCAAGTATCATCTAAACTTTATTTATTCATGCTGCACGTCGGGAAGTGCGTGAAATCTTCATTTTTAAGTTGCTTTTCCCAAAGAACTAGTTGACATTTGAATGCTTTAATTATGTCAAACATGTTCGTAATCATATGATCTTTTCCTTGTAACGATAAATTTAAATCGGTTAAGTGTTTGGTTATATCAACCAAGAAAGATAAATCTTGTATCCATATTGGATCGTAAAACAAACTTACGTCTTGATTTTTCGTTTTTAAAAACTGACGTATTTCTTCTTTCAAATCCCAGAATTGTTTGAGAATCTTGGAGCAAGATAATCAACGTACCTCGGTATAGTAGGACAAACCCGAATATTCACTATCTAACTCACTTAAGAAAGCAGTGAATTGACGCTGATTTAAACCTCGAGATCTTATAAAATTTATAACTTTTTTTATATATGACAAAACATTCTCCATATTTATTACTTTCGTGTATAGAACTTCTTGATGTATAATACAATGCATATGATGAATGTTTGAACCGTGAATTTCACTGTTTTTCTTAGTAATACTACGAAGCCCTTGTTTTTCCCGGTCATTGATGGAGCGCCATCTGTAGCTACAGAATTTAATTTTGCGAAAGGTAGATTGTATTTCTGCAAAAGTCCAAAAACACAAGTAAATATATCTTCTCCTGTGGTAGTACCAGGCATCGGTATTAGTTCCAGTAATTCCTCAAAAATGTTAAAATTCTTGTCACAAGAACGAAGAAACACTGCTAATTGAGCTTTGCCACTAATGTCCGTTCTCTCGTCACAGGCAATGGAGAAACTTTCGAAACTAGATGATTTTGCTTTGATCTGATCACTTAAATTCGCGGCTAAATCAGTAACTCTTTCCGCAACTGTATTTCGAGACAATGAAATTAATTGAAAAGCCTTCACATTTCCAGGACAAGCAATTTCTCCAGCTTTCATTAGGCATTCTTGATGAAATCACCGTCAGTAAAAGGCTTCGAATGTTTAGCTATCAACTCGGACAACGTAGCTTGCATGTACCGCCGCTTCACTTTCTTGCAATACTTTACTAAACATGGACTGTTGCTTTTTCACTCCTAACTTGAGCTCTTTCAACTTTTCTTCTCTCATTAATCCTTCGTAATTGTTATATTTCGATTTGTGTTGTTCGTAATGACGTTTAATATTATATAACTTTGGTACATTAATAGTATTATTACATATCAAGCAGATTATTTTATCTTTTATTTCACAGCAAAAATATTCTAATTCCCATTTTACTTGGAATATTCTATGTTCGTCAGCGATTTTTCGTTTAATTTTACTACCACTTGGTTTTGATATAGACATACTGAATACAAAGGGCTGGAATAAACACGGTTAACGTTGTTAACAAAAATTTATTCTTTCCACAAGAGATAAATCAAAATGCTGAAATATTTCTTCGAAAATATTCTAACAATATCACAAAATGTCAAACGTTTAGAAAAATCAATTCAAAACAGAGAAACTAATTCCATCTCCCAGCGAAATCGCTACAAATCAATCACATCATTAAGTAAACAAACAGTTCGCTAGAACTACAGCTACTACTGAGATGAGTTGTTTGTTCTCGGCTTTTATAAGCTTTATAATTAATTTCTCGAATATACTGGAAACATCTATAAATATCTGGATTTTTGTGGATGGCAACAGCAATTACGAGATATTTATTTATTAGGTATTAAATGCACGCGCTGTTCTATTTTTAACCCGTCCAACGCAGCTGTCTTTTCAAAAATCGTCTGCGTTGCTAAGGCAACATGAAGCAAATCTAATTACAATTCTAAATAAAAAAAACTAAATAAATAAATAACTATGAAATCCATAACAATATAAATTAAGTAATAATTAATAATAAAACAAAGTCATGCACATGCATGCACAATATATCGTACAAAACTATAATTGGAAAACTGAGACCATGAGTTCGGCTACATCGGCTATCGGCTATCGGGGATGCGTACAAGTTCTGAGTGCACGTGTCCCCCAAAAGCCGAAGGTAGCTGAACGCAAGCTACTCACACGCATTCGTAATTTAAGTAGTGTGTGTGTCAGCTCACTGTGAGTAATCTAACAACACTGAATAAATTATCGTTAATTACTTAGCAGTAAACATTTCATTTTTTTCTTCGTCGATATGTTATTTTATTATTATATATTATTATTTGCCAATATATTGGCCGGGCCGCAAAAATATTTGTTGTGGGCCGCGAGTTTGACATCCTTGGTGTACCCTATGTACCGTAGTTTTTATCACAATGTGAGAAATATACATACATTTATGCAGATTTTTCATTATGTAATTTCTTCAAATATAATGCAGGACTCAAACATTTGGTGGCAACAGTTTGAAAAGTGGAACTGACATTTATAGCGAACCAACGCAAAATCGCAAAACGAAAACAATAGTCCTTCAGGGACAAAGCCCCATTGGACTAACAAAAAAATTTAAACAAGTGTAACAAGTTTTAATTTGAAAAATTAGAATAATTTAAGATTATTAAAAATAATTGATGTACGATTAGGAAATTCATGTTTACCGAAGATTATATTTTAAGATAAATATACATTTTAAAATCATAACTATAAAGCTGCATCGGTATGGTAACAATTTTAACATAATCGAATATGATTATGAGGAATTAATAAAGTCACAATTATAATTTAAAAAAAGGAAATAGTAATTTGAATTTAAGAGTATTTTTAGAGTAGTTAAACAGAGTTAAAACTTTACCTCGATAGATTCATTCTTTTCAATGTACCACTGAGAACTTGTAAGGTGAAGAAAGTTTACTATGAAGTCTAATATAAAGAATAATGGTTAAATAAATTATGACAATCCCTCGATCTCAAAATTTAATCAACATATAAATCAGTATTAGACTTCTCTTTTTCAAGAAGGAAGGTGAGAAAATTAAGACAAGTAAGAAGAACTAATGCTCTGAATATGTCAAACCATCAAAATAACTCAACAAGCTCATCAAATAACTATCTGGCTCTAAATATATCAAAGTTGAAAAATGTGAAACGGAATCCTTAAAGAAAATGTTTTTAAGATTCATCTTAGATTGGAATCAGGAATAAAATTGTTAATTACGAAGAAATATGTTTAGAATTAAATGCATTGATAATAAATAGAGGAGGTACATTTCGTTTAATACTAAGAAAGCGATATCTGTATACGAAATGTCAGACAGTGATGGTATGTTACAATTAGAAAAAGGAATAGTACTTTTTTCCCTCTCTCTCTCCCTTTACAAAAAAAAAAAAAAAAAAAAAAAATTCTGAATCCAAATTTAAGTAATAATTGCTCACTCAGGAATAATATCTTGTAGGAAACCTTGCTTAGTGGGATCGAAACCAACCACAATTTACCGTAACGTCCATTATTTAAAGTCTCTGCAACGAAACTAATATATCAAATTTTGTTGTTCGGTGTTATTAGAAATAATAAAAGCACATGAAATTACACTAATTTGAAGTACTAATACAAAAGAATATTTATTATATTTTCCATGAATGGTTTATAATTGACACAGGAAAATGAAGACAAAAAAATCAAATGAAATTCTTTTCTTATTTCCATCGAATACTGTTTCTCTAAACTTATACTATACTATTAATGAGAAACTAATATTGAACATTCTGTTTTAGGATCTGGATGCGGTATGGTTTCACCTTATGTAAGAATGGAATTTATAAAACAGCATAAACAGTCCTCAGTTTCTGCTTCTGCGAGTTCAGCTGGACTCAGTTTTAGTTCCATAATACTTCCTCCGTTCTTAGATATCCTTATCTACAACTATGGTATCAATGGCTCTTTCTTCATATTTTCAGCCATCATCTTAAATTATATGCCACTATCATTGCTTGCAACTTATAACATTCCCTTTCATCGGCTTTATTTCAAGTGGAGAATAAGAAAGAGAAGCAAAAAATATTCTCCATCATCTCTAGAGCAAAACATTGGTGCACATAATTTTGCAATAAGTGAAAGCTTTACAAGTGTCTTCGAACCTGATATAATACAGAAAATTTCTCCTTCGTCCGATCCCTCTCCCATTTTTGCTGAAAATTCGAAATTTAGTTATCCTGTCGTTACCCAAATTACGAATACAATAACAAGCCAAGGTAGCGCTGTGAACACCGAAATTTCTACTCTTTCAGAAGTTTCAGAAGAGCAGACATTTACTGATAATGTACGCTTTTGCAATGGGCCTGAATCTCAGATTATAAATGAGATAAAGAACTATGAAAAAAGTCATCAACCATTTGAAGAAAATTCTACAGATCAAATTACAGTTTCTGATTCTGAGCCGGAAAAAACTATAGCTCAGAATAATAAACAATGTCAAACGTATTACCCTTGTAAAGCTGTTGTTTCTAACATTAAACAAGAGACAACACAGCATCTCGATGACAAGAAAGTTTCTGTTGTCCCTGAAGAAAGCCTAACGAAATCATATCTTAAAGAGAGCACTCTGAAGCCAGAAACAGCAAATAATACCGATAAGTTTGATTATAAATCGAAAGTTACCTCTGTGCCATTACTACCTAAACAACCCCTATTAGACATAAAAGTTCATGTTGTCGAATGTATTTTCACTAGCAGTGCACAGCACCTTTATGAAAAGGAAATTTCTGAGTCAGTTGTTCCCAAAAGAAGTGGATACAGAAAGCATTCTAACTCATTACCATCTGGTTGCTACAGCGATATAGATTTCACGACTTTTAATTTCATAAAAAGTAACAAAGAATGCTGTTCAACTCGTGACCATCAGCTCAATCCTATACCTACTATAGGCTCGATATTAGAAGTTGAAGAAAATGACGTATTTAAAACTCTTGCTTATCAGAACAAAAATAATAATGACCAGAAGAATGAAAAAACGAATGTTTTGATATTAAAAGCAAAGAAAATCTTCAAGACTCTTAACATATTGACAGAACCTGCGTATGTATTCATAATTTTAACATTAGTCGTATACGAATTCATTCTAGTAGCACTACTTATGATATTCGCAGACGTTGGAATAGAAACTAGAAATCAAGATTTCAGTCTCAAATGGATATTAATTGCATTTGGCATGGGTGGCTTATTTGGCAGGCTAAGTTTCAGTCGTATTGTAAACTGCTTGGCAGATAGGACGTATTTAATTGCTGCTGCAATATTCGTGTTAAATGGATTGGCAGCAGCTGGTGTTCTTTGGTCAACTGACCTCATTTTAGTGACAGTATTTTATGCAATTATAGGAGTGCTGGAGATCGGTGTGATGCAAATTATTCCCAAATTAATTTTGCTTTACCTGGACACACATGCGGAGCCTCTCATTCTTTCAACTTCAAGTTTTCTGTCTGCTATTGCAGTTTTGATTATACCATATGTAATAGGTAAGTAACATCCTTTGTTTTACTGCTTAAACTTTAGAATTTTTTTAAGATTTTCTAGCGCTGAGTATTATGTTTTCTTTGCAACGTACTAAAATGCTCGCTGCAGTATTTTAATTTTTAAGCATTATTGATCTTAAGATTATTTTTATTTAAAGAAACTATAATATTGTAAAATATAATGCATAAAAAATGAAGAAAGAGAAGTAATCTCTAAGAAAAATTCGATTTCTGGTTTTCGAAATTTGATATCCCGGAATAAACTTTATTCTTCATGGTAAATGTTACCGATTTTGTAGCAATATGAAAACCTATATCCTCTTACGTAAAGTAAAAACTACAAAAATACTTCTACTCATTTATGAGCAATTATTTCTGTATTTTTTATTTCACTAATTTCCTCGTGTTGTAACATGAATACGAGGTTTTTTTTTTTTTTTTTTTTTTTTTTTTTTTTTTTTTTTTTTTTCTAAAAGTTTTCCACGAAATTATACCTCTCTAAACCAGACAGCCATCGTGCAATTTGTCATCATTGGTTAATTGATCGAACAATAACACAGCCTTCAGTTATATAAATATTGAAATTCTGATCTTAAGGTCATTAAATTGTTACTGCATTTCGTAACGGAATTTAGATCTTTATAACTGAATGTGGAAAGAAACTTAAATTTTCTGAATCTATATATTGAGAGTTTTTCGAGTCCTTCAGATAAGCATCAAATGTGGAAAGCTAAATTCCCTTGAGAAAATATTTGAAAAAATAAAAAATATAAGAGTTTATAACAGCATCTATTTCATATGGAACTCAGTGCCGCAACGAGTTTGATATTGGTCATCTAAATAGCAATGAAACTGGAACACTTCCTGTATCCTTGAAATCTATATGTATAAAGATCATATTTTCTGTTTTCCTTACTCAAACTTTCGTGGAGTACTTGGATAACCCATCCGGCTAGCAACTGGAAGGGATGGTTTCGAACCTTAGCGATGTCAGTTCACGTTTCTTACGTCTTCTGCATCGGTAAAGCTAAAGATTCAAAGATATTGCAATTAGCAGCAAAATTAAATTTTAAATTCATGTTTTTTCTTAACGTACGGATAAAAAAAACTATTCCTTTCAGTCTTCATTTCATTAACTTTAATGTCATGTTAAACATCATTTACATGGACTATCTACATAATAAAAAGGTTGTCTTTATGAGGGAAAATGGCTCATATTTATTTTACGCCCATAGTCAAAAGCCACTAAAGCATGAAAATAAACATACTTTCATGTGAGCAGTTTTAATGTATACAGCTTCTGTGAATACAAATAAATTTACAAAAAGAAAGGAAAGAGAAAAGTTCTTTTCCTAAAGGTTAGTAAAAAAAGAAAAAAAAATTAATACCATATATTTACCTCCCGTTTTAAGCAAAATCTCAGTCAATTACAATATTCAAATTAATACGTTCATAGTAACTTCCGCTCTTAGATGGATTTATTAAAACCTGAACGGGGCTTATAAAGCATTCTTAGACTCGAATCCAGTAGGATGTTAATCTATTGAAAACTTTAATCAACAGCTTCATCTTATATGAAAAAAAAAATGTCACTATAATTAATTAAAATTACGAAATATTTTTTGTAGTAGTAACCCACCTTAAGAGAATATCGTTTACATAGCTGCAGTAGTAATCTACCTTAGTAGGGATACTTTTATATATCTTTGGAACAGATAACTTAAAATACGTAGAAGATTACCTTACATGCATCATAAAAAAATCCCTTGGCCTAACACATTTCACCTAAAAGCAAAATTTGAACAAATCACAGTTTTGTTACTTATACTCTTTCAGCATTTATTTTAGGTATAAAACAAAATAAACTGAAATAAAATATAGAAAAAACTTTTTATAAATTAAGCCTTCACAATTAAATGTCCACCAATATATACTAAAAATATTCACCAATGTATACTAAAAATATTACAAAATTCAGAGCTTCATATCTTTAATGACTAACCATTTCACCATCCTGATATGTATTTTGATAACTTTAATTTTGCATTTACCTGTTAACGTTATGTTCTGGATATTAAAATATTTTAACCAAAATAAAAATGAAGTAACCTTTTCGTCATCGGCATACAGTTGAAATATATATACAACATTACAGATAAAAAAAAATCACTATTGATACCTGATGCTTTTGCAAAATTAGAAAAATGATTCATAATTAAAGTGACTTATTTAAAAAATAATCGAATTATTTTTTATTAAAAAGTAACTTTTCATTTTTTTAAGACACAGAAATCGTCTGTTTTTTAACATAAAATTATATTATAATACAGGGTGTTTATAAAGTCCCGGATCCATTTTCATGTTTAATAACTCATAAAATAATAAAGATAGATTAAAATTAATAACATATAAATGGTTAGATAGACTCAAAAAGTTTCACGACCCTTGTCAATGAACTTCCACGTGTGCCCCCTTCGTCGCACGGAGAATATCAAGTCGATATTCAATTTCACGCCAGGTACCGGCAAGCATGTCGGCATCCACAGAGGCTATTGCGGTTGTAATTCTGGCTTTTAGGTCATCAATGTTCGACACTCTCCTCCTGTAAACGTTGTCTTTTACAAATCCCCAAAGGAAAAAGTCCATAACATTGCAATAGTTGCCAAAAACAAAAGAGAGAAAAATGCAATTAATAAGCAGACGATATTTAGAAAAGTACAGATATTTAGACTGGAAAATGAAATTATCTGAAATTAACCACACGCGCAGACGATATTTACAAAAGTAAAGATATTCAAACCTGAAAAGGAAAATATATACGTATTAAGTTATTCCATCTATAAATGCCATAAGTTTGTTTATATCTTCATTATTTGAGTTATTAAACATCAAAATGGGTCCGAGACTTTATAAACACCCTATATTTAACGTTATTTAGTCATTTAGTTAACTTTAAAAGTTAATTTTATGGTAGAAAAAGGGTTGGACTCACACAGAATTTATACAGTTAATCAAATTCTCTTGAAATTCCAAGTAACAGTTCCACAAAAATCATAAGCGCAAACAGGAAAATTACAGTTTTGAGAAATCCAAAATTAAAGGCGTAATTACCATCAAAATCTTGTAAATTCACATTATTTTCATAATATTAATAAAGAAATCTAGAAATAAGCAATGAAAAGTGGGAGTCTGAGTTTTCGTATGATTTCAAATGTAATTATATTTCTGAAGACTATCAGATTAAAAATTGAATGACTGACCATTTAACGTAAATTAAAAATTGAATGACTGACCATTTAACGTAAATTAAAAATTGAATGACTGACCATTTAAAGTGTTTACATACATTTTATTCAGCTATTTCAGAGGAATCGTGCATGCAACGAACGAAAATCATATTTCAATAGAATCTTAAATGAAAAATTAACATTGTAAGCACATTACTTTTTTGGAATGAAAAAATAATATAGACAGATAAGCTAACGAGTTATCTTTTCTATCACTTGTAAATAAATATTTCTATGAAATTGTATACAGAAGCGTTTTATAGACATTAATTAGTTCGAAGGATTTAACGTGATATATTTGCTGAAATTCAAATGTACACAAATCAACTGACCCTCTATAAAAAATGACAAAAATTTAGAACTCTGGTTAACTATATCTATATACTATTTTTATCAGGCGTTTGCCTTAAAATACGTGTAAGAAATCAAACTTTAATACGCAAGCATAAATAAATTAAACTTTTTGTTTATTTAAATGCCCATAAGGCGCACTAAAAAGGAAAAGCTAATTTTTTAAATATATATACCAGTTTTAAAACTATGATTGTTTAAAGCATCGTCATCTTGGATGGTTTCTCTTAAAAGAGAAGCATCTAAAAGCGAGGCTATTGTTGTCACTTGTTGCCTCTTCCTAGTGCGAACCCTCAGTTCCCCCTCCATTCCGTTTTAGCCACCAGTTGTTTCGTACCAAGAAAGCGCGGACTTTTTTATGGTTTTACGTCCCTTGCTATTCGATAGTGGAAGATTCTTTCATATTCTGGTCTCCCTCTTTTCAAGGTTCGTTTAAAATTCTGACAACTTTTTCAGCTTCTGTACTCTTAGCAATTGAGTTTGATAAGGGTAAGTTTGATTTTCTTCAATAATTTCAATGTTTTCATTTTAATATTTTCCCCTTATTTACATGATTCGCTCCAGAAATTAGGATTTTAATTTTCTTTACGCAAGTTTTTTTTTTTTTAAATTTTTTTTTATTTAAGTATATTTTCTAAACAATTTATATTTCAATTTTGAAATATAAATTGTTTAGTAAATATACTTACTTCTGTGCAAATTTTTCCTTTCTTTAAGTTTCCTTTCAAAGTTTCTGTTAAAGGTGCTGCTATAGATGAGAACATGGGAATCTAATGATAATAATATCCCGCTAATCATAAAAATGCTCTGACTTGACATTTTGTGGATGGCACTGGAAAATCAAGAATAGCTTTTACTTTCACTTTACTTGGCATTCTTATACTACGAGCTACAATATGTTCTAGATATTTTACTCTATCTTGAGCAAATTTACGGTTTATTGGTTTAATAGTTAAACCAGCGTCCTTTATTTTGGACAAACGGCTTTCAGGTGACTTAGATGTTCTTCCCAGGTGTTTGAAAAGATTGCCACGTCATCTAAATATGGAACAGCAAAGTTTTCACAACCGTGAAAGATTTCGGCCATCATTTTACTAAATGAAAATTGTGCATTTTTAAGTCCAAAAGGCATCCGTAGAGGTCCATGTATCCGTAATGTGCCAAAACTTGTAACAAAAGTGGCTAATCTTTGAGCAAGGTTAAAGGTGGTTTAAAGGTATCTGCCAGTATCCCTTTGTCAAATCCAAAAGAGTTATATATTTTGCGACTGCTACCATTTCTACTCGTTGTTCGATGTTAGGCAAGGGAAAGAATTGTGTTTTTGTCAGCTTATTCAATTTTCTATAGTCGATACAAGGTCTTGGA